ATGCTGATACATTCAGATTGGCCGCATCACATAGAAGCTGAAAGTGTTGAGCAAATTTAACCAAGACAAATGTGGAGAGGTAAAAGGAGATAAATTAACTCAATAGGAAACAATATTTGAAAATCGAAAAAAAAAGTGACCCAGAAAAAATCATAAATTCGGCAAAAAAAAAGCCGAAACCACCAAAATAAGATGGAAATGAGTGCACAACTAAGCACTGGATACACCAGAAGTTAGTTCAGGCAGGAAGTTAGCCATCAAATTTTATAACGCATTGAAAAGATTCCCAAAATACCAATCTATACCAAAACGAATTAATCGATACGACTTTTCACTAATCATAACAAACTGTTAGTTTGAGAAAAACTGCAAAGAAAGCAACTTTTAGCTGTCCTGTGGCAGTATCAGGCTGAGGTCTCGATAGTTCGCATGTGAGAAATGATATGCCTGCGCCCAACTCCCGGTGAACAAGATCAACATCTAAAATACGCGTTGTGGATCAAAACAGACGAAAACAATAACAGGCAATACCTAGTGGGCATCAATTATACATAAAAATACTCCAGAGAAAGACGGTCGACACTGGGTGCTGACCTTCACAAGTGAGAATGATAGGTGTGCGCGCCTCTCGGCACAGATTTTTCAGTGTGTACCAAAATCCATCGTCTTGTTCATCGTAAACGACATCGCACTAAAAATGACAAAAACTCACACTAGCATAAAAATAATGCATGCAAAAGCGAAAAAACAGTAGAAAATAGCAAAAAAAAAGGAAATCTGTGTAGATGAAGGAGGACGAGAGCCCTGGAATTGATGATGAAAACAGATAAAACAAGAAAATGTATTCGTAAGCTTCTAAGTTACTCGCTGCATTATTCTAATAAGATGTAAAAAAAGTCAGTACATACGGGTGAAATAGATAATACCTTTAATGTAAGACGATGAATCTGACAATTTGGCTGAAATCAGCTTACCCTAGCTCATCATTATGAGAAAATTTACTTCTTTCGAAGCACAAACTATGAAGGAAAAGCACAAAGATTACGTCGTCGATGAGGATAAGCGAGTCCACCACTGCTGGCTCATTCTTCCGCGCTGCCAATGGAAAAACGTAGTTCGCAGCCGCGGCCGTAGAAAACTGCAAACATCAGATTACACCACTTAATACCTCACTTGGCGCGATTCCAGAAAATTCCAGTGAATAAATGAAAACCTTGTGTGAGTGTGCTGCCCCCTGTAATTTTGACTTTAGCTGTGCACCATTTCTCTTCTCATTCGATGCCAATTCCAGAACGTGCATGCCATAGCGTCGCGCAAGCGCATACACCTTAACGATGAGAGAGCGTAACACAATCGCTTTCAATACTTGTTCGTTGAAAAATGTTTTTACTGGAAAATGATATTTTTTAATGTTCCTTTTTCATTTTCCCGGAAAATTTTTGCGATACTTTCGACGCGCCTTTACGTCGAAAGCAAACCCCTAAACCAATCTGAGCAAGGCTTGAAAGTACTGCTCTTAAGACTCCGGCGACCCAGAACTACTTCCAATTTCATTTTTAAAACATCCCCTCCACGCAGAGTTGTCTCGAAGTATAGTCAGTTAAGGTCAGCCTAAACAATAGAAATTTGAAACAACACCGAGGAATATGGGGTACAGTGGGATTATATAAGATAATGTTGCTCAGTAAGAAACTAGTCAGTTCAAGCTCGTGCATCACGCCTAAAGTTCCAATTAGACAGAAAAATCCGAGAAATATGTACAGTTACGAGTTTCTCAGCCTGCCTTCAAGCCCATAAACTAGTACAATATGTATGGTAGAGCCCAGCCGAGTTTAAGCTGATCTATGCGGAACGACAGAGATCTCTTCAAAAGTTCAACTTCCAAGCTTCAGGATCTTAATCGTCGTCAGAGAAACACATATATCTGGACGCAAACTGACCATAATGCCTTTTTGCTGCATTGGTAAGACAAAACGCAGAAAAATATTCCACCGTCACAGAAGATATTTTACCGATCGATCTGGCTCCTCTCCTCACAAAGTTATGTTACTTCCGCAAAGTGCCGGGCAGAAAAGTAAAAACGCATCAACCGCCTTCTCTCAATACTTCGCTCCCAATCAGATGTGCTTCGTGACTCAGTAGTTGCTATAAAAAGTAAAGCTTACCAGAGAGGTTTTACCGGAGCCGCTTGGGCCATAAATTATCGCTGTATTGTATAAATTGTTTTCGTCATCATCTGAATCTTGACATATATCATGTCTTCTCCGCTTCACTTTCTTATCTGTAGAAGCATCGACAAAGTACAAAACTGGGTTTCCCAGACAAATACGCTAAATCAGCTTTATCATTATAGGTAAGCTATACTTACAAACTGTAACTATACTTACTGGCGGACCAAGGAAGCTCGTCCCCTCCCCTCTCCCTCTCCCTCCCCCTCTCAGGGGCTTAGGTAGCAGTTGTTCTATTGTACAAAAGTCTGCTC